TTGAAGTAAGGTTTGCTGTTTGTTCTTGTCTCTTAGTTTCATTATTTTGGCATTTATCTCGCAATCTCAACATCACGCCTAGGCTCTAACTCAAAAATTTCGGCCTCAAGCTTAGTGATCTTAGCCACAAGTCTGGAATGCATACTCGATAATTAGTTTTTATCACTGTGTACTTTATTAAAATCGAATAAAATCACACCCATTTCGTTACGGACTGCAACTAGATTACTTTTACCAAAGAAAAAAATTTTTTATTAATACAGTGCAAAAACATAATTTGGGATGTGGCCGTTTCTATGTTAATGTTTGCAGACTATTACACATAAATTATTTTTTCATCTATTCTAACCTTTTTACTCTCTGGGGATTTGTCCGCATATGCTCTATCCTTTATTATATCAACGATCACACTCAAAAGCTTCTTCACACCATTACGCAATGTCTAATACTCCTAGGATCTTTTATCTAAGGCTTTTTTTTTAAACTCGATGGTATGGGGAATTTCACTCGCTTGATTAATCTCGCCTGGACTGTAAAGCAGAAAATGCCAATCTCTAGCCAAAGTCACAATACCTTGAGGTAGTCAAAATCATCATCAACATGAGTTAGAAGTTTTTCCGTGGATGATGCTCTTGATCCCGTTGTATTGTTACTCTAGTACAACTATGAATATGTTTTGTGTTAGTATTTCTTATTTATTCTGTCTAAACGTCTGAAGAGATATCTCCTGTGGAATAGGATAGGGAAGCAGAGATCCCAGAAAGGTCCTGATTACTAGGAGAACAAATTTTTTCCTTGTAAAAGATTTTCATTCAGAAGCAGAGACAGAGCAGGAATAAATTTCTTTGGAGTAGTTACTTGTCTTATGTGGCAAAATGTTAGTCATTTCTGATGATATATCTTTTGTTGTCGTAGGATGATATTTATGGCTGGCTGCTTTTACGTACTATCTGTTGACCAATATATGTATTAGTCATTTCGTTGCTCTCGTTAACAGCTTCATGTCAAATAAAGCTAACTACACAGCTCGTACCTTAATGTTCGTAGTACCATGAATCTGAAGGGGACATGAAAAGATGTATTAAGTGGATCATAATCCATTTTCGTATTTTCGTTTACTTTTGCTGAATTGCGATTTGTGACCAAAAATCTGCTAATGAACAGGTCATTTCCATGCCGTGCCTAAGGAATGACTAAGAGGAAAAATTTTCTTGTGAAGACATTGTTTATAATAGACGGAGACTAAGATGCAGACACAATGAACAAGCAAGGGTTAAAGAGTAGCCAATCTCTCTAGGAAGATGTAATTAGACTTAATATGCAAAATCTTCACTTCATTGTCATAAAATGAGACAGATCGTATATGGTAACTGTACTAAGAGTGTTGCGTCCACATTCTTCCATAACCATAAGATCCTTGAGACTCTTACCTGCCACTGAAACTAGCACAAAACTCTTTCAACATTCTGAATTTGACTAAGAACCTCAGCAATCTCATTCCTTGGAATCTCAGATGTGGCCTCAACTTCGTAAAAATCAGTAAACAATTTATTCCACTCCAGTGAACAAGGTTTTCGGGATTTCATGTTATTATCCATTTTTCTATTAATCACATTTCCATAGACGACAAAAAAATTTGATCGTATGAAATAGTAAAACCAGACACTAGAGAATTATAGAACATCAGTCCTGTTTTTGTCACAAATAATGTAGCCATTAAAGATACAGTTAACGTGATTCCAAAACCTTCATGTTCTAGAGTACATTATATAAAATAAATACGTTTTCCGTGGTTAATATATGAACATATGGTAGTTTGTTGGTGAATGCACCCACCTGAAAGTCTTGACAGTCGACACTATGGTGATGTTGTAGTACCATTGCTGCTGAAATAATAACTCGCTCTCTTGTTGCTTGCCCTTATTGCCAATTCATATTGTAAACTGAAAAAATGTTACTATGTATTCTGTGACTTTAGTCAGTTTCACTAATCCCATGTTGGATATCATCCTAATTTCGTGTTAGAAAGATTGTGGAATGCTTTTGGAACAGTTCTTTAAATTGATAAAAGACAGACGCAATTAATGCAATATCAAATAATACAAACTGAATTGTGCGTGAACAAAAAATATGTTTGCATCAGTTATCGCAAGAAATGGGCCGGGAGAGAATCTACAATAAACAAAAGATTATGTGTGGAGAGAAAAATCTTTGCATATTTTCTAGTTTTTTTTTCTGATTAAGAGACCAAATCTATGTGCTACGTTGTACTGTGTAATATTTTTTGAAATTAGCCAACTGCGAACTCGAGGTCACGGTCTCGTAGTTTAATTAGATGGTATGATGTCAGTTAATTCGGATAAAATTTCCCGTATTGCTATTCAATTGCACGTGTCAATTTGCAGGATACTATGAATTTTCCTGTCCTGGTATAAAATGGACTTATTAGATATGCCTCCATATATGAGGGCAGCATAAATAGTATCATTTTTGGCTCATTAAGATTCACAAGAGAATACATATAGTGAAGATCATATATCAGAAAAACCATCGGAAGCAAATAGAATAAGAAAAGTCTGCTAAATAAGAGAAGTCTGCTAATCTAACTTGAAGTAAACTTCTCCAAGTATATACTAGGTGCTTGAGTGATGACTTAGTTATTTGTAACACATGAGGTATGAATCTGGGATAACGATAATAACATCCATTAATTATTCTTGATTGCTGTAATTTCTACTACATTGCTTCGCAGGCATTTTCACTAAGAACTCTTCCATCGAACAAGGTATATATCAATAATGTGATCAACGACTACCTTGATCGATTTGTAAATAGGATACTAGAAAGAAACGTTACTTCACAACTCAAATATCGTGTTCTAATTTTTACGCCCATTGTCTATCTTTCCTAAGTCTCCCAGTAATCCATATGAAGGAATTTTAACAACATTTGTAATAATTCGGATATATTCTCAACTAGATATTTTTAATTCAAAAACCGGGAAGAAAATTAAAGTATGTAGTACCAAGTTACGTTCGTTACCACAAGAGAGGAGAGTCTTTTGCTAACCGCTTAGCTTTTATTTATATGTATATAAGAGCGAGCGGATAACCCATATTTCCTTGGAAACCCCCAGGTATTTGTATTTTTACGATTTCAGAAAGTGAGACCACTTAATTTTTGCTTCGTATTACCACTACAAGCAACGAATACATACAGTACTATACTCAATTGTGACACGTTCGGTTGGAAGTAACGATAAGTAGATATTAAAGATTTTGATTTTCGAACAAGATGAAAAAATTTTATGTAAAGTTAGAATCTGTGTGGCTGAGATATATCACTGTGTTAGAGTCTGTAGAAAGAAAATACTTACTACTTCGTAATAAAATTAAAAATAAAAATAAAAATTAAAAATAAAAATTGACAAAAAAAAAAGGTATTAAGATGGGATCTGGAGGTCTCGGACCCCCTAGAAAATTTTTTTCCAATAAAATATAAGTTAAAAATGTTTCTGAATAAGGTACCATAATTCTTTAGAATATACAATTGCATACAAATATAAACTTTAAAAATAAAATAAAGTGTATATTTAAATAAGAATCTTGCTAATTTGCTCTCCGGGTGAAATCACCCAGGTGATTTCACCCATAATAAATCATATATAAAATTTTTAATTTGATCTTGCATATAAAAATAAATTTTACGAACACATTTACATTTATTGTGAAATAGAAAAATCTATAATCACGTTACATCATATATATGGTTCATATGATAACCCTTGATACCACCACTAAAGTTGAAATTAAATGAAATCAGAAATAAAAATATACAAGGTTGGAATGAACCAAAACCAAAGAGAAGATTAATGAATAACCGAAATCGTAATAAAACCAAATCAAACATAAGTAAAAATGAAATCGTATAAAAAAATAAAAAAATCCCAACCAAAGGAAAAGAAGCCCAAGAAGAAACCCAAAAGAAACCCAATGAAACCCAAGAAGAAATCCAAAGAAGAAGTCCAAGGAAAAACCCGGCCAAAATAGAAGAAACCCAAATGAAAAATGAAACTGGTTAGTTACAGTAAAGAAACTAGACTTCTGAAATTCTGAAAAACTTGAAACTTATCATTTACTAGGATACCGAAGTTAAAAATCTACAAAAAGAAAATGGGTAATTAAGAAACAATAGCAAATAAAAAAATAAACAAATATTATAAAAAAAAAGCTTACCTTCAAAAGTCTAAGAAGAAAAAAAAGGCGTTAAAGAGCGTCAAAAAACGTTAAAAGACATTAAAAATGTTAAAGGTCGTCAAAAAATGATGAAGAATGTTAAAGAACGTTAAAAAAAGGTTATTCGTTATCTGATAAACAAAACAAATAATAATCAGGTGATATCACTCACGTTAAACTCCATCCAAAATTTTATTGAAGAAAAATTCTCTTAAATTTTTGTTATAAAATTTTAATAATAAAAAATATGTAAAGGAAAAGACGTAACCTCGCTCTATAAATAATTTTTCATCGTCTCATACTATGTTAACACGATTAAAATACCTCTACAAGCAAATTTAAATCATAATTATTATAATTGTTAACAAAAAAAGGGGATAATTGTTGAATTTATTAGTTATATAACAATACAAATTTAATTGTTTGATCAAGAGCTCAAGACAATTACGGAATTTTGTGGTCACGAGTGTCTCACCAATAAAATCATTTTAGATTATCTATTGCGCCCATCTTTTTTTTCTGCAATTGAAAAAATTTTCTTCCTTACACCTGACTAAAAAAAAAATGAAGTTCGACAGAGACGTACTTTATTTAATATCAAAAAATTTGCAAAATGACAGTATATCACTTTATTCATTTCTTTTAGTTAGTAGAATTTGGTGTGAGGTAGCAGTACCAGTATTATGGAAAATTCCTGGAAGAATTCCTTTAACTGAAAAAGCAGAAAGTATATTATTTAACGTTATACTTTCACATTTTTCAGAAGACTCAAGAGATATTTTGAAGAAACAAGGAATCAACGATCTTTTCACAGAAGCTTATCGACCACTTTCATTTAATTACATTATCTTCTGGAGACATTTAGATTTACAACTTTTAGAGGATATGATCAAACCAAGAAATGTCGAAGAATCAAACATTGATATTATAATAAATGAATTATTAAAATTATTTATTAACAAAAATACTAAATTTCTTTCACTTTTTATTCCATATAATTTTAAATATCAATTACATAATATTTTATGGGCTGAAAAATGCTTTTCAAGTCTTAAATTCCTTCATTGTGATAATAGGGATAAAAATATTGTGGAAGGATTAGCTATAATAGCTAAATCAATTAATAAACTCATATATCATATTACATATCTTTATGACATTTCTGGAAGCTTAATATTAATCGAAAATCAAAATAATTTGAACGAAATTAAAATTGAATGTCGTGCTTCTGTACAATTTGAAATTATTGAAATTATTGAAAAATCACTAATTAAAAAAGCAAATACTATTCAACATCTGCAAACAAATTGGGATACTGAAGATAAATTTCTTTCATATTTTGTAAATTTAAGTAGTTTAGAAATAGGTGAATATTTCTGGTATAAATACTCTAGAAATAAAACAAATTGGTGTCATTTGGAGAAAGTATCTTTACCTGGTTTAAAAGTTTTAATAGCCAATATTGAATCACATCAAAATTTAGATAGAATGATTAAAATTACAAATGGCCATCTTCGTGAAATTACTCTTACCCATAGTGGTATTGTTAGTGATGCTGATTATAATAGAAGACTTATTCAAGCAATTTATCAGAATTGTCCAAATCTTAGATATCTTAATATGCCAATTAAAGAACAAAATATTCCTGAATTTGAAAGGTTATTAATTAATTGTCAAAATTTAAATGGATTAATTTTTGAGTATGAAATGCATTTTAAATATAAGAGTTTATTTGAAATATTAATTAGATCATCACCAATAAGTTTGTATAAATTTAAAATTTATTTTAATCGGAAATTTGGACCTAAATTTAAATTATTAAAATCATTTTTTGAAAACTGGAAAGATAGACATCCTATGATATTACAAATTAATATGGTGAATTTTGAAGATAGACAAGAGATGGATAAATTAAAAGAGTTGGTTAAAAAGTATGAAATAAAAGGAATAGTTCAAAGATGTGACTTTGATTGCTTTTATTATTATGAAGATTTTGATTGGATTCGAAAAAAAACAGATGTTTATTAGACATTATATATATAGGCTTTATTAAATATAAATAAACACAATATTTTTATATGAAGAAAGGGGTTATTTTATTTTATTCATGATGATGTAATTTTATCTTATGATCTGGTATTAATAATCATTATAAATGATTTACTAACATTATGGTCTTACAGTCAAATCTTTATACAGCCTACTAACAATACATCAATTTATATAAATAGGGCGATTTAAATTTAAGGAAATAAAATATGGTAAATAAAGAAAAAAATAATAATAAATAATACCTACTCTTGCAAATTGGTTTAATGGGTTTAATTTAGAATTTGAAATACTTCATAATCTTCCACATAAAATTTATCAGCAGCTTTTCTGCTGATTTGTTTTTCGTAACGATCATTCTCACAATATACAGTCTTCCCAATTAAACAAAGGTCAAATTTACCAAATGCTGAACAAGCATGATTATAGTTTAATATAGCAAATTCTTCATCTTTCACACGACTAAATATATAATTTTCAATATCATCACTATTCTCAAAAGAAAATATAAAATTATCCTCAGTAGTGCCATAATTACCAGCATCATTAGACTCCCATTTAATTGGATTATATCCCCCAAGAATTTCATCACTATTATCTAATTTAATAATTGTTATAGTACGAAATTGATTATCATATATATCATGAAATTTTTCACGTGTAAACCCATCACGAGATTCACGAAGTAACAATTTAAATTTGTACACATTTTCTATCTCATCCGTAATTTCTAATCTATCAATCAATTTCGAGATTAATTCAGCATGTTGAATTGTAATGATTTTGGAATCTATATTATTTTTTTCTTAGTAGCTTTTGATTGTTTAATTGATTGGTTGTTAGAATCCAACTTTTGGTAAAACTTTTTTATAAGGTAATATTTCGTTTGAAAATTCTTCTGAAGTCAAATTATAAAATTTAATAAATGGAATATAATGCTGAACTTTTTTTCAAAGTATTAAAATCTTCTTTTGAAAAATTTGCAGTATCAGAAGGAAGTTCTGGATTTTGAGCAAGTCCCCATTTAAGCACATTTTTTCATACTTGAATTTCGTCCATTTGAAGATTATCATTTTGAATAATTGTGATCAAAAGTTTTTCTGGAATTGAGGAAAAATTTAAAGATTTGATTATCTTATCTGGTCCTTTGGAGGTTAAATTAGTACAAAAATTTTGAAGTTCCAAGAAAGAATCGTTCTCAAAGCTTATTGATATATCAAATTAAAATTTTGTTCCATCCAATTTGCCTTAGTTTTAATCAAGAAGGATTGTATATAACTAAAATAAGTGATTAATTCTTGGAGACCAAGTTCACTCCCTGCAACCAAAACTTTAATAATATCCGAAGTATCATATTCCTCTAAAGTAATTCTTCCACTATAAATATATCTAAAATAGTTAAGAACGTAAATTTAAATAATAAATTATACAAATATTTTTTTGTATTTAAATTTTAATTCTTTCCTTTTTCTTACCTTAAGATTATTTGAAAAATTTCAGATAAAATATTTTGTAATTTTATATGAAACAACGTTCCTTCATTTTTCCTTTTATTAGTTGATAAAATTCTTCGTAGATACGTGGAACGATAATGTAAGATAACCATATGAGCACGAAATATCTTTATATAAGAGTCATTTCCAACTTCAATAGTAACATCATAGTATTCATCGTCATTTAAAATTTCAAGTAAACTTTGAGACAATTTCAGTAAAAGTTCTTTATCATCCATAATTTATAAATTTAAAAAAATAAATAAAGAAATGAAAAAGAAAATGATTGACAATTTTGTCGAACGGTAGGTAACCTTACTTAAATTGCTACTACAGCTTGTTGATCATCAACGTTTACTGTAGCACCTTATATTGTTCGTGTCATTTGTAAGAAATTCTTTTTTTTTTTTAAAAAAAAAAAAAAAAATATATACTAACATAATAATTAACTACAATATTTTGAAATTATTTATTGAAGTGGTTAAAGGCGCCCCACTTGAAATCAAAAACAAAAACAAGATTGTGAAAAATAAAAAAAAAGAAAACTAATAAAATTTTAATACATTAAAAAAAAAAAAACTCTATTTTTGATGGACATTTGTAAGAAATTCGTCGTCATCTATGTAATTAAAAAAATGGTGTTTGCGACTAACGTTTAGATTAGCCTGTATAAATTAATTTTGAATTGCTGATCCGTATTCTTTATAGTTAAGACCCGCTTGATCTGCTAGTCATGTTGTACATCTAATCCAATTCCGGTTAATGAAATTTAATCGGAATTTTATTTTTTTCAACGATCTTTTACCAAATGGTTCTTTCTTTTTTTTCAAATTTCCTCTTTTCTCTTTCGAAACACCTTTTCTTTTCCTTTTTTAAAAATTTTTCGTTTTTTCCTCTTTTTTTTTTTTATTCTTTTCCCATTTAGATTTGGTTTTTATTCCAAAGCTGAAAAATTATTATTTTTTTTTTATTAAATAACCTTTTAAGACTTATCAGATTGTATCCTGTCTCTTATACACATCTAGATGTGTATAAGAGACAGCGAAACACCTTTTCTTTTCCTTTTTTAAAAATTTTTCGTTTTTTCCTCTTTTTTTTTTTATTCTTTTCCCATTTTTGTTTTCTTTTTATCTCTTTATTTCTTTTGCTTTTTTTATTTTTTTCTTTCTTTTTTTTTTCTTTTGCTTTTTTTTTTTTTTTTTTTTTTTTTTTTCCGGTTGGCTTTTTTTCCAATCCGAAAATTTTTTCCCTTTTCCTTTCTCGGTTTGGCTTTTTTTCTTTCAACCGAATTTTTTTTCCTGAATACATTCTTTCCCCATTTAGGTTTGGATCAGTGATCGGATCAATATTGCGGCGCCACGGCAATTGCCTTTTTTCCCGATAATAATAATATTTTTTTGCATCAAACTCAATAATAGACTAATATAATTAATTAATTATTTTTTGTAACAATAGATCGTTATAATTAATTTTTCTGGGGAATTTTTTTTTCATGATAATAAATCGTTATAATTAATTTTTCTGGGAATTTTTTTTCATATTAATTGTAGTGAGATATTTTTTTTTTAGAGGATGTTATTTTTTTCAATGTTACAATGGGATTTTTTAAGATAAATAAAAAAGATGTTTTTTATAACAATGTAACAATGTACTAATACAAAAATGTTTTCAGTACTGCAACATTTGTTTCGAGTGATAAATAAAATTTGCATTTAATAATAATATTTCATATACTACTGTATAACACTTGCATTGTTATTTGTATAATCATATAAATTGTGTAATTTATTACATTTATTTCCTACTAACTCACTTTAATTTGTGTAATTCATTCAACTGTTGAATGAGAAAGTAATAATTTTATTATATAAGAAAATATTGGTATTATGAGAAAAGAAGATAATACAACAATGAATTTAAAAATAATTTCTTTTTTTTCCAAAAAATCCATCAGTTACGTTATAAGAAAAGTACAAGATGATGATGATTTATTTAAAAGTAGCAAACTTAATATTAATGAATTTGTTGGAAAGGGAAATGTTGCTGACAAATTTAATATAAAATGTAGATACTTAAAAGCGGATAAGAGAATTGATAATAAAGCGAAAAAAATCCATAAACGGATTCTTTTCTTACATTCAATAAATAACATCTATATAACTAAAAAAATTCAATGTCATGTTTAGACTACCCCCTGTATAGATAATTTTGAATCGTGCAATGTGGTACGTCTGTGGATGATTTATTCCGTGTTAGTATAGCGTCCCTATATTATTATGGCTAAAAGAATTTTGATCGGTAAGTTCATTGCATGAACGTCGATCATCTATTGCCACCAAAATTTAATCATTCGTTGATTACTAATATTTATTATCTATCCTGTATAAATAATAATTGTGAATTGTGTAATGTGCGGTCTGTCTGCTCCTGATCTATTCCATAATAATATAGGTTTTTTATTTCTTTTAGCTCTCTATATTATAGTTAAAAATAATTAATTAGTGAATGCTGATGTCCAAAATATTATATTCTTTTTGGTTAGATTGATAGTTCGAGAGGTTGACCAGCAGTTGGGTTGACCCAAAATATTTGGTTACTAATATTTATTCTTTTTTTCTAAATAGTTTTTAAAACCCGATTTTAATTTATTCCTTCATTTATTTTAATTAAAATACCATTAAATTCTAAGAATTTTTTTTTAGCATTTTTAGTATTTTTCTTATTACTGATTTTTTTTCTATTTTAGTTTTAGTAATGTTTTTTATCCTTATCGATAATAATTTCTTTTAGTAATTTTCTGATATTCTTTTCCTTTTAGTTTTAGTAATATTTTCTTTTTTAGTATAGACTTTTTCCCGATTTTTTCTTAGTAATGTTTTAAATTTTTTAGTATATTGTATCTCCCCGATGATAATTTTTTTTTAGATCATATTTATCTCATTTTTTTATCGATCATATTGTATCTCCCCGATAACAATAGGCCTTTCTTTAATTTATTTTACTTTTTTTTTTTTACAATGGATCGGAATTTGTTTTCATTTAGTAATTTTTTTTTTATATTTAGAAATTTTTTTTATTTTTTAAAAATTTTTTTTCCAACAATAGATCGGACTTCGCCCTTTCTTTATGTTCGGTAACTGACATTTACTAATCTTAATTGGTAATAGTTAGTTCCGGTTATAAAAAAAATTTACTTTTTTTTTGCTTCCCGGTAACTGTCGTCATTCTAATACTTAAGTAAGAATATATATATCTTTGTAACAATAGATTTGATAAGTGAAATTTTTTTTTGATATAAATTTTTATTTTAAACAATAGATTACTATGATATAATCTCTGTAATAATACATTCGTATGATGGTATTCTTGGTGATGAGAAATTTATTTATTTTTTTTGTAACAATTAATTATTCATTATTCTAATATAATAATCATATTGTAAATATAAATTACTATATGTTCAGTATTATACAATGTCTTCTTGAAATTAAATTCTTAGTCTAATATTAAATATAACTACTTCAGTCTTTTCTTAACATGCAAAAAATTTTTTTAATGTGTAAAAGAATTTTTCTATATAAAAATTTTTTCTAGGGTACTGACTACCTTTCAGAACCCTTTCTTAGGCTTTTTTTTCACCTTTTTAAATTTTTATTTTATTTACTTCATATCACCGGGTGTGATCATCACCGTTGGCCGGAATTATCAATTTTTACCGGCATTTTATTTTTTTAATGCTGGTCGATCATAATAATTTCAGTCACCGGTGATAGTTAGAAAAATTCTAATTTTATTATTTATTTTATTTTGAATTTTCAATTCTTCAAATTTCTAATTACAAACAAAATTTAGTATTATATAAGTAACAAAATTTCTAAACATAAATCAGATTTTTCTTTACAATACATACACTATAATATGCAATTAATATATATCCTGGCGCAGCGTGACAGGTTACGACTAGTATTAACTTAAAGACCGTGCCAACTTGATTCCTGACGCCACCCTAGTTAAGATTTATAAAATTTTTACAAGGTATATATTACAATCTTAAAGAACTTTTTAATAAATGACTGTAAAAAAGGAATAATAGAAAATAGTTACATATCGTACATAAGGTTTTAAAAGATTATTCAAATTAACATTTTTTTGTTTAGTTCCTTTATTGGCATGAAATTGAATGTAAAAAATGAACTTGCTTAATTGATATTTTAATTTATGAAAATTTAATTGAATAAAATACTGGCAAAAATACTTATAATCTTAATGTGAAAAAACAAACAAGTTTAATTTTGCAATTTTTTTATTATAGATAAAAATGACGGTGGTCAAATGGTCGGTCAGAGTCTTTGATCTACTGACCGACCGTTGTGACCCATAGTTGGAATTTCTCAATGCAGATCAGTGCATACTCATTTAAATATTCCTTTTTGGTAGCTCATTCATGGATATATTGAATAAGAAAAAAAAAATTTTTTTTATCTAAAAAAAGCTTGTCAAAAAAAATTATTATTTCCCATAAAACAAATTTCTAAAATAACAAATGGAAACTGAATTTAATGAATCAAATATCTTAGATAAAAATACTGATACAATAAATACCAAAAATTGCTTGTATTGCAATACAATTTTTACTGAAAAATTATGGTGTAAAGAATGCATTAATTCTTTAGAAAAATTGGCAGAAAATGGTGACAAAGAAGCAATGTATAGTTTAGCCATATTTTATAACAATGGAGAAGAGATAGAAAGGAATTTAGAAAAAGCCTTTTATTGGTATCAAAAAGCAGTAGAAAATGGTAATGAAAAGGCATTGTTTAATTTAGCTAATAGTTACTATAATGGAGAAGGAACAGAAAAGAATTTAGAAAAAGCCTTTCATTGGTATCAAAAAGCAGTAGAAAATGGGGTTAAAGAAGCAATGCTTAATTTGGCCATATGTTATGAAAATGGAAAAGGGACAGAAAAGAATTTAGAGAAAGCCTTTTATTGGTATCAAAAAGCAGTAGAGAATAGTGGAGAAGAAGCAATGTTTAATTTAGCCATATGTTATGAAAATGGAGAAGGAACAGAAAAGAATTTAGATAAAGCTTTTTATTGGTATCAAAAGGCAGCAGAAAATGGTAATAAATATGCAATGTTTAATTT